TTAATTAATGTACTTATTGCAGCAGTCTGCATATTTGGTACCCCTGCTGGTCTAAGAGTTAAACCAACTCATTCAGTTAAAATTAATTAAATTACGTGTGCCACCTTATATATTTATATTTAAGGCTTTACTGATGTGCCACAATAATGTCACCTAATGTTATTGAGTTAAAATATCAATATTGTGACATTCCAAGTTAACATTGATTGATATGACTGCGATTCAATCAGAATATACTTCTGCCAGGGGATGCCACCCCTCAAATTCTCCTGCCACCTTCTTGCCACCCCATGAATATTTGTCTAGATCCGCCCCTGCCATGATCCCAGCAACAATTCCCACTTCTGGATTAGTGCCTTTCCTCACTCCCCTCTAACTAATGTCAACTTCTCTTGAACTTTTTCTCCTTTTCTTCCTACCTTTCTTTCTTTCATGAATTTAAACTTGCTCTCTTCCTCTCTCCTCACCTCTGTCACCATCCTGTTCATTAGAGATGCGTCTCAGGTCAAAGTAGTGTGTTCCTATGGCAACATCGCTCATGCTCCCCTCATCCCAGACCTGTGAGCAGAGAGAAGTCAGCATCCTGTCACGTTCATACTTGTGAATAATGTAGTTGTTCATTTAAATACAAGTGTAAATAGAGGTGATATGTCAGTGCTCCCCACTCCTACAAATTAAAGCTCACACCTGGATCTTCAGTCTCTGACACAGAGGGGGGAACATCTCTGTGAAGACGATCTGCTCGTTCCACACCGGGTCTGCTGTTGACTTCTGAGTGGATGTGCGACCCTGAGAGACAAGGAAGAAAGTACATGTATGATCTGTATTATAGTGCTCAACAGAGCACTATAATTCAAATGAAGGATACATTAGCAATTTACAGTGATAAGGGCTAGCCCTAAAATATATTTAAAAAAGTTTACAACCTTTTTTGTAAAAATAAAATATACTCAAAAAATCCTTTTCAGTCAAGCAGTCGGATTCATCTAGAAGTTTAATTGCACTTAAAGGTCCCCTATTATCCGTTTTTCATCAATATATTATATGTCTCAGATACATGTCTCTGAAGTGTTTGGCTCCAAACACCAAACAGATCATTGCATTACCCATAATCCGCTCTGTTTCAGCCCTGTTTCCAAAGTGCTGATTCTCTGTCTGTTACTTTAGATGAAAATAAGGAGCCCCTCCCCACGCCCCTCTGAGAAAGATTTGGTTAGAAATAACACAATGGTGCTCTAGGAGGAGATACAGGTGATAAGGTGGGGGAGGGGGGTTACCGTGGTTGGTGATTGGCTAATGGTTACACAACCCAAACAAATCGTTATGACATCATAAAGTGGCCAAAATCTAATCAGCTCATTTTCAGACAGTTTTTTATATAAATGGATCAGGAGAAAAAGAGAGAGAATCTTTTTTCCTGAAACTTTCAGAATCTCTTTACACAGAGGGGACACATGTTGATGAAGAAGAGACATGAAAAAGTGGATTTTGCATAATAGGTGACCTTTAAAGCTGATGTGAGCTTCAGAATAGCTTTCTATTTAGTTTTTGGAAGAAAACGAAATAAAGGCATTTTTAAACCCACCACTCTTTTGAAGAAGCTGACCACTACATATGGGTCGATGAGTGCTGTGTTGTCTCCTATGAAGGCCTTGGTGACGTTGGCCATGATGCTGGAGTTGTTCCTTGGAAGGCCTTCAGCTCGATAAACCTTCACAGAGAACCTAGCCCACGGTCGCTCAGAGGGGAAGCCTTCTGGTATCAGCAGGTTCCTGAGGTAAAGACAGAGATGGCAAAAGTACACACATCCTTTACTCGAGTAGAAGTACAGATACTCATGTTTAAAAATACTCT